ACAAGTAAATGACCTTGTTGGAATCTGATGCCATATTCTTGCAAATAGTTTTCTCTTTTCTTTTCATTTTTACTGTGCATAGACCTGTCAGTCAGCTTTCTTCTTTTAATTTTTAATTAAAGCTAAGGATGACTAAAAGGTGCTAATGAGACATTGTGCATATTCTTTCACCAGCTCTGATTCAACAGAAGACCTTGGAGCAGGAACAATGGAAAATGTCACATCTTATTGTAACTGCAGCTCTGATTTTGAAACACAATGAAATACCATTATGATTAGAACAAAAGCCAGAGAAGCTACACTGTCAAAATGCATGTCTAAATGTACATGTGTTTGAGTTTTGAACAGTATTGAATAGTCCCTGTTTTAAAATGGCAAAGGGTACAAGGCACAACAATGCTATGTACTGGTGTATCACTACACTGATTTTTAATTGAATAGTCCCTGTTTTAAAATGGCATAGGGTGCAAGGCACAACAATGTTATGTACTAGTGTATCACTACACTGATTTTTTTACTTGTAAGTAAAATGTTGATTCGGTTAGTCATGCCCTTTCCCCAAAACCAGCAACAACAATAATAATAACAATAAACAGCCTTCTTGTTGAGGTTGTTCAGGCTTAGTGTTTATGTAGAAATAGAGTGTGAAGCCAACCACCTATGTAACTCAAAAGCAATAACATATTTGTTATTATGCAATAATATAAAGTGGAATGACAATCCTTCAAAGATTATGACCAGTGCTAATATGACTTTTAACATTTCATGCAACCCAAATACCACACAAAAAGCATTTTCACTCCATCTTGAAAATAATGTCATCAACCTGTTAGAACAAAAACAGCTCATTCTTTAAATATTTTTGTGTTGCATACGCATCAGAAAGCGGTGTCTACTCACTGTTGTGTAACAGGAGTTTAGTGGCCTTGGACATGGTTGGTTGTTCTGTGTATTTGATCAGACAAAAGCAGAGGGTTTATACAGGACCCAAGGAAAACCTTTGAACCCTTGGACCCTTGCCAAGTTAAGGAAATGCTCACTGGCACTAAACAAGGTTACAGTACAATGCAAACTATATCACTAAACTGATAATAAAAGTGGAAGGACAGACAGCGGCAGTTATATCATAATGCAGGTGAGTATTTTGATATTAGGACATAATACTTTAGTGTAGATTTAATAAGGTAAACTTATAAAAATGTGCTTTGTGTATGTTTACAATATCTCTTCTGGAAAGAAAAAATAATTATTTGAACCACTAGTCCATACATAGAGGCCTCAGCAACACTGCAATCACATTAGTACTGAGTCAAATTACACTAATTGTTCATAATTATGGTAACTGTTACAACAAGTAGCAGCAGAATATCTGTGCCAAAATGTTGCAATATAAAAAGAGTTATCAAACAAAAGTCACCAAGTGCTTGCTCAAGGGGGGATTTGTTGAGTTTTTCTCAATAACACTGTAATGTCTAGACCTTACTATGTAAAGTGCCATGAGGTGATTGTTGTTGTGATTTGGTGCTATGCAAATAAAATTGAATTGAAACAGAAAAATAATGGCTGAGTATATATACATAACCACAGGTAATGAGCCCCTCAGTGTTAATTGGACATGCAAAATTATGTCATTTTGTCCAATTCTGATAAGCATTGTCTTCAAGTTCCGTGACATTACATGTTTCCCACATCCCCAGGTAACCCTGCGGTAAGGAAAACAGGCCCTCCAGTTCTGAAATAGTTGTGATGGTTCCAAAACCAAATTACTATGAGCTGTGAAGATACAGTATGTAAGACATGTCTTACTGCAGGAGAACAATACTCAAAGGGATAAGACTGAAATGAAGCAAAAGACTGACTATTAAAGACTAAAGCAACACTTTTTTGTATTAAAAAAATCAATCAAAATGACAACTGAGGACAAGACAGTGTAAGTGTTTCATAAAGTTTGGTAAGAGGCGTTAGAGTGGTAAGAGTAGGGCTGAGGCAAAGCATAAATAAACCATTTTATTTTTGTGGATGCTGAATAAAGTTAATTTATAGCTAATTTATTTATCACAGCAAACAGAAACACCAAACAAAAGTAAAATACTGACACATGAGTGTAACAGGCTCAAATGCCAAATTAGATAAATAACATATTCAAACAGTAACCAGTTCTTAACACACTATTTATTGCATTGTATGTGGTGAGACATGGTGCACCCAGTCCCACCACCCCCCTGCTACTCTCCCCTACTCAGCATGAAAAACATTAAAACCTGGCAAGTACATACAAGTCCTGTAAAAAGACCTGTTGGGTCATGATGTGCTTTTGTGATTTAATTAAATCAGTAACCCGGGGGTTTCTAAGGGATGACAGGCCAAAAATGTTGAGAAGCAGTGAAAAAAAACACAGTAAACAAGAGCATCAAAACGAAAAACATGTGCACCAACAATCAAACAGCAAAGACAGAGAAAGCCTTCTGTTGACATCAGTATGAAGGATAATGATAAAAGCAAATCAGCAGCAGACAGTCGATGCTTGGATTGAATTCAGCCCTACAGCTCAAAGCACACTGCCAGTGGCAAATAAGGCAGCCACTGGAAAATATCACTGTGTGTTTTCTAAAAGTCAAAAAGCTTAACAATATGAACATTAGTGGGCTCAGAACGGGCTACACATTAGACTGTCACTACAAACTAAAAGAACTAAGCCTGCCACATAACAGTGGCGGTAATGTTGGATACAAAGTGGTATGCATGGAAATGAATTTAAAACCACATAGCTGACCGCAGCCAATAGCACTGACCTGCCACAATAATATTTACACATTGCTGCACATGGGAAATGGTAATGCTTTACTGCCCCAAAGTCATATAAATCAACCATAAATGTCACCCAGAGTGTCATTCGGAGTTCAGCTGCTGTTTTGATAGGGAAAACAGGTCGAACTGTACATGTTACGGACCCTCAGGAGGGGAGGGGGCGTTTCATAGATGAGGTTTTCTGCTTTGCTCTGCCATGAAACTACTAAGCCTCATCTTAGAACATGACAGACTGCATATAAACATATTTCAGAGGCAAGGAGCAGATTCTGAAGATCAGAGGTTTTGTGCTCACTATGAAAGGCTGGTGATATTCCAGGTCAGGCTGAGAATGTTTTGCTACTAAAACTGCATTAACTGAGATCATTTACTTCATCTATTTTCATCTTCATTTCTGTTTAATGTGGTTCTGTCATTTGAGCACGCACCTTAGCTCATTATCTTGTGTCATCTGGTCACAATCAAATTAAAGAGGTTTAATCAAAAAATGGAGAAGGGCGGTATTTATTCTGTACACTGGCCTTTAATAAACTGGACAATGTTTTACAGATTTGAAGGGTAATTTTAATTAGCTTTCAATTAATTGCATACTGCAGCTGCAGAAAAGCTCACACACACACACACACAATATGGCTGCATATACACACACAAGTACATTTAGACACACACAAGCACACAAAAGTTCAAGTGTTTTTTCATCCTAACAAGGATTTTCTGCAGTATGTAAACTAAAGCTGGGTATCTCTACAGAACTTTGCAGAAAGAACTATCTGGCATATGAAGGTCTTTTACTATCATATTCAATGTCAATGTAATGCCTGACTTCCTTTTCAGATGCTGCAGCCCAGTCTGACTGACGATTGATTTCCTAAATGACTCACTATACAAAGCTTGGATGTAGCTTCTGGCAGCAAACAGACACAAAATATAGTACAGATTTTTTTTTTCAGTTTTGTGACTCAGAAGGAAAATATGACTCAGTTTGGTCTAAACAGATCAATTGTCCCATCTAGTGGTGAACTGGGAAACTGGGAAGCTCCAGTTTGCCATATGAGATACAGTGGTATAATACTTTATACTGAGTCTGTTCAAACTGCAGTCGGCTGCTCTCATCAGAAACATCTCAAAGCACATGCAAGCACAGAGTGTTCTCAATACTGACTATTCCTCGCCACAATTTTTTTTAATGACTCCGCCTGTTTACTGCATCGTGGCACCTAACCTTTATTGTTCCATGTGACATTACCCGAGCAGCCTTGGACAGATTTATAACATCTGCATGCTGAGTTACCTCTGGTCTGCGCATCCTGACACTTTCATGCCTCAGGAGTTGTGTCTATGTCCTCGAGGTCTCATAACTTATTCAAATTCAATTCCTTCAAGTCATTAAAACAATCGCCTGATACACTGGCTCACTGTTTAGAGCAGTACATTTGACTTCACAGAGGTAAATACACTGCACAGAAAAGTATTAAGAATGTCTATAAGAACGAGAAATATGTTGAGTGACACGTACATATGATGATACATGAGGTCATCCCATATGAGCAGGCATGCCTTTCGTGGCACTGCAGTATTTACTACAGAACATGCAGTTGTAAGATTTGAAAAGATTATAGTTTAGCTGTCGATACTTTCCACACCAGTGACACCATCTGTTTCTTGTTCTGGTTATTTATCTTAGCGATGCCTCCTAGTTTGATTTTTGATTTACATTTCAGTGAAAACAGGTCAGTGCCAGTAATCCAGATGCTGGCTTCCCATGCTGTTATGCAAGTACTTAATTCCAGGTTTCAGGGAAGAGACTGTGTGATGAAAAGAAGTATAGGTAAGCTGAAATGCAGAATGAATGATGTGGGAGTTGTTTAGAATGTGCATTCAGAATTTGCAGACATGTAAATACACTGTACGTTTAAATCCGAAAGCACTTGAACACACATACTGTATCCTGTGCACAGTAGCAGAGTATACTGTATGTTGTACTGTAACTCTCCATGAAGGTCATGGGAAATGTTCCGGAGACGCACCTGTGTGATTCATCGGCCACCCAACCTTACCAACCTTCACTGTCATTGGTCCATCTTCATTCCTTGGAGTCTACGACAAACCAATGGGAGTGTGTGTTCCCACATTCAGAGTGGGGGTTCCTGTGCTAAAACGTTTAAAAGAGAGTGTGTGTGTCAAGCTGTCCCTCAGCAGAAGCATCAATCAACATGATCCCCATTGTGCTGGCCTCAGTGCTCATTGCTAGCGGTAAGAACATCTGGCATTTTCTAATTCTGTGTATAATCTTTCTGCATGTTAGCAAGTTTGTGTGAGTGAGTGTGTATGTGCTTGCATATTACCACACACAGTGATAGTACTCTTAAAATGAAAATGATGCAGTTTGTGTCTGATAAAGGAATAAATAATTATTTCATTTTTATCCTACTTGATCCCTCTCATGCGCATACACTCATGCCTGGCTCCTCCTCATCCAGCCCTTGGGTGCGGCACCCCGCCCATTGAACCCCTGACTTCCCGTGTGGTTAATGGAGTAGATGCCAAGCCCCACAGCTGGCCCTGGCAGGTAGGCTAATAGGTATACATCTGTCAATGCTTTTATGTTTACTGGCAAACCTTATGAATCCAGCATTTGGTTACTAAATGCCAGACCCAGTGGCTATTGAAATGCTGAAATTAAATGGCTGTTTTTCAATTCATGCATCTATCTATGCAGACACAACCTACTTCTGCCTGTATCCTTTATGATGTCCCTTTTGTCTCCAGATTTCTCTGCAGTATGAAAAGGATGGTGCATGGAGGCACACTTGTGGGGGATCTCTGATTGCTGCCAACTGGGTCATGACTGCTGCTCACTGCATCAAGTATGAGCAGTAGAGGAACATAAACACACAAACTCAAAAACACAACTTCCAGTACAAGTGCCTGCAAAACACATACACAGAGATCTCTTCTTGACTGCACTGCAGCTGCCTCTAGACCGCAAACCCCTCATATCCGCAGCAGATATGAGGACTGGGCAAGACATGAAGACCAAAGGTTTAAAACCAAACAGTAACACTCAAGGTCATCTGAACCACTGCCCAGTTTAAATCCTCATCTGGCCACCACAACTAATGATCACTTTCGACTCATCAGATCATTAAACTGTACAGCAAATCTGGTTTAGCTGGGGTCTGAAAAGTCTCTTCTCTCCCGCAGTGACAAGCTCTCCTACAGGGTGTTTGTAGGCAAATATAACCTGGTTGAGGACGAGACTGGCTCCAAGGCCATCCTGCCTGAGAAGATTGTTGTTCATGAGAAATGGAACCCCATCTTTGTGGCCTTTGGGTAAGAAAAGCACCACTCTATAATGCACAGAGCAGGCTGAAGCTCCTGCTGTGACGTACAGAACATCATAATCTCATCTGTTTTGTGTCGAAGGTGACAAAGTAGACTGAGGCTCAAATTACTTTTATTCACTTTGGTCCAGCTCACAGCTTTGACAGGAGTTCTCAGTCTTCATTTATCTCAAACGTCTCCATAGCCAGTAAAGACTGCAAGACAACATCAAAAAGAGTGAAGATTTTTTTAAGCATTCTATTACTATACACTGTAAGATGAATAAATAAATAAACCTGAACAAATGGTCGCATTCCAGCAGCTTGGGCCACTAGAGAATTACTGTAAAAGTATGGATCTTCTAAACAAACTAACACAACAGTAATTTCCCATAATTAAATAGCGGTTTGCTTTTAATTTTAAATAAAATCTCTAAATCTGTATTTAAAAGGTTTTTTTATGTTAAAAAAGACACTAACCTTTAAAGCCCAGGGAGTTTTCTTTAACAAAAAAATATAAAACATATCATTTTAAGCATAATTACAATAACATACCACTAATGTTAGAATATATTAAGTAATATTAGTGAGTGTTCAGTTCTTCATTTGACACACAGAACTTAGCAACATCTGCTTAAGCCATTTTGTACCAAGCAGATACAAAGAGAGTCTGAAGGGCTATTTTCAGCAGCTTTGTTAGATGTACAGGGTTAGACACTGAATTCAGTACTAACCTTCATCGAGGAATGCATTTTTTTATTATTATGAACAATATTGACCTAGACTTACTTTAATATGTATTACAGATGCAGTAGGTTTCCACCATGAATAGGTTTCTCAAACTGGAAAGGAAAAATTAGAAACTGGAGAGTTTTAACACAATGCATGCTGGGACGTCTGCTAGTTTAGATTATGAAAAAGTGACATAAATAAGAACATAATTCACAACTACTATTTTCTTGTGATTTAATTAGACTAATATTTTTGTATTTTTTATTATCGTGTCCATGTATATTGGAAATACAGGAAAAATCAGTCAAATAAAGCCTCATTCTGTAAAACTACTTTTTTTTGGTTTGTTTTTTTACAGTTACATTTCACCCCCAATAACACTTTTGCAAAGTGGAGAATTAGAGAGGGAAGAGAGAAGATTAGCAGTTGGGTTAATTAATTTGTCTATATATAGACATCATAAGACAAGAAAAAAAATGCAACACGCAAAAATGCAATCTGTCTTTCTTGTAGTAACGACATTGCCCTAATCAAGTTGTCAGAGCCTGTGACTTTGAGCGACCAGGTGCAGTTGGCTTGCATCCCTCCTGCTGGTACTGTGCTGCCCAACCTCTACTCCTGCTACATCACAGGATGGGGCAGGCTGTCCAGTAAGTCACTGTTTGTGGTGGGCTACACTGTGTTTATGTGTATGTCCTTGTCATTTTTTTCAGCATAACAGTTTTAAAATGTCTTCCTGTTACTGTCCTTTAGGGCATTCAAGTTGTGTTCGCGTGGGATGTTTAGATTTATAACCAGATGTGAGTGAGTGTGTGTGGTCGGCATGACCCGGTGAAACCTCATGAGTTGAGATGAGCATCAGATGTATAAGATTTTAGCTGAATCTTTCTTGGTGGGAGGGTCACTCCTAAAGCGAAAATTTGGCGCTTGGGGAAATGCTGTAGAGCAGATGTGACAGAATGCCAGAGTACTGTATAACATGTGAATGAACACACTGTGTCTGTGTGTTTTAGCCGGAGGCCCCATAGCTGATAGGCTGCAGCAGGCTCTGATGCCTGTGGCCGACCACGCCACGTGCTCCCAGCCTGACTGGTGGGGTATTGCTGTCAGGACCACCATGGTGTGTGCTGGTGGAGATGGAATCGTGGCTGGATGCAATGTAAGTTTGCACCCTTTGTGTGTTTGTGTACTTTCTGTATACATTATTATACTTTATACTGACATTATGTATACGATATTGTAAAGCTTGTACATACTGCTTTGTGAGTATTGTACTCACAGTAAACATGATTATATCTTTAATGCTAATTTGAAAGTTATTTAGCATGTTAAAATAAAATATGTCCAATCAGGGATTTTTTTTTTAAATCACACCAATGTTGTCTAACTACCAAGAAACAGAGATTCTTGATACTTGGTAAAACAGTTATTCTGATTGTGATTCCCACATTTGCACTTTGCGACTACCAGTAGTTCAATGAATGTATAAACCACAAGCTCTGGCTTCCTGTGTTTAGGGTGACTCTGGTGGCCCTCTGAACTGTAAGAACGCAGAGGGCACCTGGGAGGTCCATGGCATTACCAGCTTTGTTTCTGCCTTTGGCTGCAACTATATTAAGAAACCCACTGTCTTCACCCGTGTCTCCGCTTTCAATGACTGGATTGACCAGGTAAAAGAGACACACAAAGAGAATTACACTGCATTTCCTTTTTTTTTTTTTTTTGCTCAAATAATGTCTAAATCTTTGTCTTTTCAGGTTATGATGAACAACTAAAGAAGATGAAGTGTCAATAAAAAGACCCAACAAACTGCATGTCTTTTGTGCGATGTGTTTCAATACCCACCAGATTATAGTAAACACATCACATCTGATAAATTCACATCCAGGTGAAAAGCAAATTAATCACGAGCCTTATTTAGCCACATTATTGATTCTGCCCTGTCCTTGGACATTTGCTTGAAATGAAAACGATGTCAACAAATGTCCAGCAGATGTCCTCATACACTCATGATAGGGAATTGGTTCTGACAGCTTAGCTGGACAATAAGGAGATTGGCCAGTTGTTCTTGCCTGCAAAATACCACCAGCAAACAGATGTGATTCACTGCAAATAGCCCACATAAAACAAGTAGGTGTTTCAGACAAACTAACACCAAGTTGCATATTAGATGATTAGAGTTAATGGTGTGTTAGGAAATGACCCCTTCATATATAAAACTAATGTAATAACCCTGTTTGAAACTGACCTGGTTTGTCTCTGTGCAGTCTCAGCAGGAGGGGTTTATGAAAACCATAATATGCAGCTGGGGAGTCTATCTCCTCATGATAACACACTTTCAGCGCCCTGAAAATGAAGAAGGCTAGAATGGCAAGATTTAGATTAACGCCTCTGTCAGTTTTTTTTTCCCCACACTGTGATGAGATGAGGATAAGGGAGTGGAAAAAATTAAATTGCCGCTTACTTCTTTCTTTTCTATCTCACTCTTTCTCCTTTCTCTGTCACATCACATACAGACACACACTATATTTTGACAGGGTAATATAGTGTTGTCACTGAAATGAGAGACAGTGATCCGACATGACACATACTGCAAAAGCAAGTAATAATGACTGTGTGCGCACCAGGATGCACATGTGTATATAATGAACAGACAGAAGGAGAGGCAAGGGAAATAGGGGGGCTTCACTCTGCACCCACGACCCTCTCAAGCTATATTAGAGTACATTTCTGTGATATGATGAATCCCTCTCCTGAAGCAGCTTCCTCTAGAGCATCAGTCTGTGATCAGTGACAAGCGTCCCATCTAAGCTCTCGTCCAGCATAGAGCCCATGTGCTGCTCACTGACTAATTCAGTTTGAGTGAATCTTTTTGATCTGACATAAAGTAGAGGGATCCATGAGTACTGCATGTTTATAAAAGTAAACTTATACAGCACTTTGCCCTTGTTACAGTGCATAGTATAACAGTGAATGAATTTCATATCATTTAAAATGCAACGATTTCATTCATCAAAATTAAATAAAGTAACTAGGTTAAAAATTGTATTAAATCTATTAATATGGCCAGGTCATGAGATTAGATAAGCTTTTATAAAAGAGTAAAATATGGCGTATACCTCTACCTGGTGCTAAAATCATTATATTAGTTAAGAATGTAATAACTTGTGACAAAAATATCAATGCAATTACTAAAGTAGTATTACAATTACTATTATTAATAAAAATGCAAATATACTACATTCACCAGTGACAATCTTGTTTCAATTCTAATTCACTTTTAATTGCATTTCTGGCTAATTTTTAAATTACATTTAACAAGTCATCTGACAGATATTGCATCAGTCAGTTCAGTCAGACTTAACTTAAATAGTTCATTACTTGAAACACTGCTAATGTGCACCAATGTATGCAGCACTTCAATTAAGCTCTCTGGATTTGTTCCCCTGTGAGCCTTTTGTCCCAAGTCAGTGGTGAGGTAGACAACGGAGCCTCAAAAGAAGACTTTGTCTCAGTCTGAATTTTGTGGGTCAGGGTACCCCACTCCCACCACTCACACAAAGAGAGAGCTGAGCACTCCCCCCCCCAAGACACCACGCTGTAGTGCTGAATACCAATAAGGGCAATTGTGAAGTTTGTGCAACTGCAATTCAGTTTCATGCAACTTGTTTGAAGTGTAGTAGCAGGATAGAAGGTGCTTGTATTTCACTGCAGCTCTGTCTGTATTAAGAGCATTTAATGCACTAAAACACTGAATGACCTGTTTCAAAACTGCACAGCTGTTTTATATTGTGCCATAAAACTGTGGAATTCTCAAGATATACTATAAGTGAAAACCCATCAACAAAATACTGTGCTGTGTATTTTCCATTGGTGCAAGTACACTTGCTCAATATTGTACTTACGAACAACATTGAGATACTTGTATTTTACTTATCTCCATTTTATTTTTAGTTTTTACTTTTACTCCAATACAATTCAGAGGCAAATATTGTACTTGGTACCCCACTACATTTTTTGACAGCTTTAGTTTCTCCATCCTTAGCAGATGTAGATGCTTAATGCAAAATATAATCAACTAAAAAGAGCACGTATTATTATAGATTAAGCTATCTGGCAATACATGGTTAAAATTAGACCTAGCTTTACCATCTGCAGCATCAGCGATAGACATTAATGCTTCAGTAATTACAATCCATTGCTGTAATATACAATATATCTGTCTGAAACTGGTTATTCCCCATAACAAGAACATTTACTTAAGTTTATTTTGATGTTAAAGCATTTGTACTTTGACTTAAGCAAAGATATTACTATTTCTGCACTGGGGTAACGCTAGTTTTCCTTGACTAGCCTGTTTAACTACTTTTACCACCACGCATTGTGCATATTTTCGTGCTTTGATGAAGTGTTTACTGCTCTGTAACTACTGCCTGGGTATGTGCACAGGTCTTGACAGCGACAGCGGGATGTGAGAAGGATGTTCCAGCAAATAAATAGCTCAGTAGTACGAGGGTGAGCGAGAGGGAGGGTTGGGTGGGACCGCAGTGATGATGAGCAGCCACACTAACAACAGTCACCGTGAACCGGCCGGGAGGACTCCGCCTGCGCCCGCGCCTACTGCTGAGCCATATTACCATACGGCCGGTCAGAGGTTGGAGGGTTCAAGTTCCCGCTTCACAAACGGGTTGGTGAAGTTTCTGGAGGTCTGCTTTCGCTTGAATATTTGTATTTAATTATTTCAACCAGTTTTACAGCCGATACGCGCTAAAGAGAGGACGCAAAACCACACACGTAACTAAACCGGCGCGGACACCACGAAGAGGTAGAATGATGATGTACGTGTGAGATGTTGATGTGCTTTGGGTGCAAGTGGAAAAAGTAAGGAGCTGCGACCCTAAGCTCTTTTCTAAGGTAGAACCATCTCTGCATGATGGAATGTTTCATGGGCTGAACGTTATCCTATAGGCTACATCAATTTTATTCTTTATTAACTAAACGTGCTTTTATTGGCGTTATCCAACATTAAAACTGTATAAGACTACTCGGGTTTAAGGACAACTAATAATTCAGTATTTAATTACAGGCCCCCCCTGAGGTAATCAGAAAACCAGGGGACTGAAGGAAGTGAAGTTATGGTGTTCTGGTGTTCCCAGATGAGCTGGTGAAGAAGGGGGACAGGTCAGTTCCACTGATAGTCCACTGCCAGGTGATGCATTATGCACAATCGTCTGTTTTCCATGTGGTCAATGCAGGCTCAGATCTGTGTGTGTGTTTGTGTTCTTGCATGCAGTGACCCTCTGCCTGGCACTGTAGAAAACATTCTTTGGTACATGAAGTATTTGCATACATTTACATTAGATTATTTGCATGTGTACACAGAGGGCCTTCATATTAGTCAGTGAAACCATTCATGAACACACATATGCAAGATCAAGCATATTATTCTGCTGCTGCGTGACTTTAGATTCAGATCCAATGCTTAACTATTCCCTGCCACAGCCACATAGTCATTGCATAACAGACACTCCATAGCTATTCTTGTGTTGACTGTGGCTTCTGGGAATATCTTCATATGTATTTTTGAAGCCTAGATGTTTGTCTCTGGTGGTCTAATCCTTGAACTATTGAATCTACCAAAACAAATACCCAGGCATTTAGAATCAGCTTTATTGGCCAGGTGTGTGGAAGACATCAGGAATTTGACTCTGGTACAGTGGCTCTCAGTGTGTATGTGCAATGATCTTCCATAAGGCAAAGGGCAAACAAAATAGAGAACAACAAAAGAAAAAGAATGTGCAAACAAGAAAAAAACTGCATTAGAGAACAAAGTAGTTATAAATATAGAAATATATATACACAGTTTAGATGGAGTTTTTCCAGATAGATCTGTACAAAGGTATATTTACAAGAGATTGCACTGAGGGTTGTCATTCTGTTAAATTGTTAAATTGTTAACTGTTCATCAGAGTGATGATCCTGGGGAAGACACTGTCCTTGTGTCTGGTTGTTTTAGAGGGGAGGAGTTCAAACAGTTTGTGTCCAGGGTGCGAGGGGTCTGCTGAGATCTTGTACAGGTCCTCCGTGGAGGACAGGCTGGCACCAATGATTCTTCCTGCAGTCCTGACTGTTTGCTAGAGTCTGTTCCTGTCCTGTTTGCTTGCTGAACCAAACCAGACAATGATGGATGAGTAGAGAACAGAGTCAGTGATTCCTCAGTAGAACTGTATCAGCAGCTCCTGGGGCAGGTTGAACTTCCTGAGCTGGTGCAGGAAGTACATCCTCTGCTGTGCCTTCTTGGTGATGGTGCTGATGTTGGATGTCCACTTCAGGTCCTGGGAGATAGTGGAGCCCAGGAACTAGAAGGACTTTACTGCTGATACAGTGCTGCCAAGTAGGGTGGGTGGGGCTCCTCCTGAAGTCCACTGTCATCCACTGTTTTAAGCATGTTCAGATCCAGGTTGCTGTGACCACACCACAGGGCCAGCTGCACACCACTGCTCCTTCCTTTCTGTCAGGAAGCTGACAGGCGTGGGTAGGCATGGTGAGCTGGGTCAGTTTAGAGTGGAGAAGTCCAGGATGATAGCGTTGAACACTGAGCATGAGCACCATGCATAGGTCCCTGGGAAATCGAGGTGGTGTGGGATGTAATAAAGTGGCATGTTAACAGCATCATGCACTGACTGGTCTACAGTTCAGAGCAGTCCTATAGTTCAGAGGCACAGCAACATTCCCAAAATATTTTTTTTTACCAGACAAGAGCAGTGATACATCAAATTTGTCATCCAAATGCTCTTTTTGTGTAATAATATGACACAAACATTTTGGCAACCGTGCACAATCCCAGCTGAATCTTTTATTCCAATGTGGCCTTTGTTTATTTTGACTTTTGAACACACTTTCTTTCCTCCAGTGTGGTCACTAATTAAAACAGCTATCTTGTGATTGGAGGAAGTGAGAATCCATTATCTTTATAATTAATAAGACATGAACCACAAACATTAAATAAAGCATGAGTTATGAAAATGTGCTACATTTGGTGATAATGAATAACTACTGTGACTGTTTCTTGTTTTATGCACCAAATGAGTTTAAGCACATAACTATTCCTTTGTTCCACTCATTTCTTTGATCAGACCACACACACACACACACACACACATGTTTGTGCAGTGTTTACCTATCACATCTGTCTGTCTTCTTCTAGCTTCCACATTTGACACTTTTTGCTTTAACTGAAATTGTAACGGACTGAATGTTACCTGGCTTCTGCAAAAATGTTCATCAGGATGTTTTGGCATTTTCTGCAAAACTGTCAGGACAGTTTTATTGACAAGAATCTCAGTTAGTGATTCTGAGGGTAATTTTACCCGCAGTGATGCCACAGGCATCCTGAGGGGGACCCATCTGGTACACTCAGAGAGTGACTGTGCATTGGAGAGCAGATCACATGCATCACTGCCACCTACCCTGAGACTTGGAACTATCCGTCTTTATTTGGCTTGGCCATAAAATGCCTATAAATGGAAGGATAACTTTGAAATGAGTTCTCAACAACTTTGGACTGTTGCAGTATTGCCCTCAGTTGGAGAGAGGAGGAAATATGTAGTCTCATTAGAAATGCATTAGGGGAAAGGAGAGAGGTATAGAAGCAGATAAGCTCAAGTTTTTATCTGTTAAACTCTGCAAGGGAAAATAGTCACACTCTCTATCTCATGTTTGAACCAACTTCTCTCTCTCTCTCTCTCACACACACACACACACACACACACACCTCAGTGACCCATTTAATATCACCCACCAAACTGGCAACTATATTACAGCATGTTCTCCCTGAAAACGCGTTACTGCTGAAATGCAATCAAAATAATTCAGCAAGAAAAAGTGCTTACTGGCAGCTTCTCTATCAGTTTAATAACCTCAGTGCTCTCTGCCTGTATAAAAAGAAACAAGAATATAAAGAGGGTGTTTCGATACGGACCTGAAGCCAAACTGTATTTTCTTATCCTGTAATACTAATCATCCACAGATTTATTACACATAAAGTCCTTAAAATGATTCTTTTTCCTGCATCTTACTGACACTTTTCTTGTAAATTACTAGGACTAAAATATTTAATAATACTCCATAGAATAAAAACCACTGTAATGCTCTGTATTTGACACTGAAATTGTATTTATTGCTTGACAAAAAAAAGCCTTGAGTATAAAATCTACTTATGAAGGAGCTGGACAACCAGTACAGTATGTATGTTATTCCATATATAGCATCTACAGAGAATAAAGCCACCTTGGCCTAGTGATTCCTTTCACAGAGAAGGCAAATAAAGCCACCTTGGCCTAGTGATTCCTGTCACAGAAAAGGCTCTTTACAGAGCTGAGCTCACGTACACGTGACAGACAGGCTTACTGTAGACAAGCATGCCAACGTGTGTGTGTGCACACACATAGGACATATGTGCCTGGAAGTTAAGTTCAGTATGTTCAAGTGACACATTTTCTTTTGTTTTCTAGGGATAAATCAAGTAACTGAACAGACCAGCCTGGCCCCAGTTACAGATCTTAGGCCATCCTCAGATGTCTGATGTGACTTTGTGAGTCTGAAGACGGTTGTCCACTTGACATCGGAGAATGATCTGAGGATGGGCCTGTCTGTGTGGGCCATTGTGGCCATCGTTTGTAACTCGGTGGTGAGTGTCCTAATCCTCATCCTCTTTGTCATCCTCTGCAAGGCTTGCAAGGTGCCTTCACACCCAGAGAAAGTGCCAGTTATCACAGTGAAGCCACAGCAGAGGAATGCAGAGAAGAAGTAACTGCTGAGTGTGCCCTAGTCCTGACTTAAGACAGAAACAAAATTCAACTTTGCGGATCTGCTAGAGGTCTAATATTGACCTCCACAATGACAGAAGACAAGCTGAACCCTGATATTTGATAATCTTTGTTTTTCCTCTTCCTCTTCAACAGTTATTTTCATTTAGTAGCACCTTTTATCTTACATACTGTTCACATCTCTCCGCCATCAACCCCACTTTATCTGTACTATCCAGTGGAGCTCAGAGTAAGCCAACTGTGTTAATAGCTGTGGCAAGACCAACATCAACGACAACAAGCAGGCCCAATCCTCTTATCTCTGCTGTGAGTCACTGGGACTGACCATCTGTGAGCTTTGCCCTACACAAGGAAGACCACTGCATTCTTTGTCATCCCTCCATATGAACCTACTGAGAGGATGTGGGGGACAAAGCGCAGCAACACAGTGAATACAAGTATTTTGGGTGACAGAGTTGGTTGAGAGTCACAATAACTGGTTAGAAAAAGAGAAAATGTAGCTCTGCAACTTTCAAGTGGCATGGTGTTTGCCAGGTGCAGCACTAAAGACGGCAGCAACAGATGACAGGCAGACACCAAAAGCCTGAAAGATTCAAGAAGGAGAGAGACGCTGCTGGAGGACAGATGGTGATAAAGTGCAGATATTTGGTGGGGATGATAAAGTGCAGGGGAGGAATCGTGGAGGGGATGCTTTGATGTGCTGTTTACAGAAAAGGGAGCTCCAGGCCTGTTTGACTATCTCCCCAGCCGACACACAAGCCTCTTCCTCCGCCAGTCTGATTCCCACGGGACTAAAAGTAACAGCAAAAATGTTACTTGTGCCTCTCTTTCATTTTGTGAGCTCATTTATAGACTGACAGAAATGGTAGACTGACTGAACACTCACTGCCTCACATTAAGAAGTGACTGTTATAAGCAAATGTGCTGCAGCTACAAACTGTGTCATATCAACATTTTCTTAAGGAAAGAGGAGAGAGATGAGAGACACCAGACAGGATGACAAAATGAGCCAATCAGAATGAGGTCCACATTCAAATACAAACTGCTACACATACAGTGGGTACGGAAAGTATTCAGACCCCCTTAAATTTTTCACTCTTTGTTATATTGCAGCCATATGCTAAAATCATTTAAGTTCATTTTTTTCCTCATTAATGTACACACAGCACCCCATATTGACAGAAAAACACAGAATTTTTGACATTTTTGCAGATTTATTAAAAAAGAAAAACTGAAATATCACATGGTCATAAGTATTCAGACCCTTTGCTGTGACACTCATATATTTAACTTAGGTGCTGTCCATTTCTTCTGATCATCCCTGAGATGGTTCTACACCTTCATTTGAGTCCAGCTGTGTTTGATTATACTGATTGGACGTGATTAGGAAAGCCACACACCTGTCTATATAAGACCCTACAGCTCACAGTGCATGTTAGAGCAAATGAGAATCATGAGGTCAAAGGAACTGCCTGAAGAGCTCAGAGACTGAATTGTGGCAAGGCACAGATCTGGCCAAGGTTACAAAAAATTTCTGCTGCACTTAAGGTTCCTAAGAGCACAGTGGCCTCCATAATCCTTAAATGGAAGATGTTTGGGATGACCAGAACCCTTCCTAGAGCTGGCCTTCCGGCCAAACTGAGCTATCGGGAGAGAAGAGCCTTGGTGAGAGGGTTACAGAAGAACCCAAAGATGACTGTGGCTGAGCTCCAGAGATGCAGTCGGGAGATGGGAGAAAGTTGTAGAAAGTCAACCATCACTGCAGCCCTCCACCAGTCGGGGCTTTATGGCCTGACGGAAGCCTCTCCTCAGTGCAAGACACATGAAAGTCCGCATGGAGTTTGCTAAAAAACACCTGAAGGACTCCAAGATGGTGAGAAATACGATTCTCTGGTCTGATGAGACCAAGATAGAACTTTTTGGCCTTAATTCTAAGCGGTATGTGTGGAGAAAACCAGGCACTGCTCATCACCTGTCCAATACAGTCCCAACAGTGAAGCATGGTGGTGGCAGCATCATGCTATGGGGGTGTTTTTCAGCTGCAGGGACAGGACGACTGGCTGCAATCGAGGGAAGGATGAATGCAGCCAAGTACCTGGACGAACTGGACGAAAACCTTCTCCAGAGTGCTCAGGACCTCAGACTGGGCCGAAGGTTCACCTTCCAACAAGACAATGACCCTAAGCACACAGCTAAAATAACGAAGGAGTGGCTTCACAACAACTCCGTGACTGTTCTTGAATGGCCCAGCCAAAGCCC